CTTTAGACACTGCGTTTGCACCCTCACTTGTTCTTCAGAGATACAGCCAGTTTAAGCATTTCCCAAATTGCATTTCACGCCCTGTGTGGGCTCTGACTGGGATGAAGTTAACTTTCTCCATAGCAGCCTCTATGGTGCTGTATTTGATTTGTGACCAAAACAGTGTTGGCAGCACACCAGTGGTTTAGCTGTCACTGAACAGTACTTGCACAGCGTCAGGGCCTTCTCTGTTTCTCACTTTGCCCCCACCCTAGCAAATGGGCGGGGGGTGGGTGAGAGGGTAAACAGCCAGGACAGCTGACTCCAGCTGACTAAAGGGACGTGTTGGACCACGTAGCATCACACTCAGCAATAAAACCAGGGTGGGGGTGGGAAGTTTCTTCCAAAGTAGCTGTTGCTCAGAGACTGGCTGGGCATCAGTCTGTAAGTGGGAGTTGATGAGTGATTTCTTTGCATCACTTACTTTTATTCTTTCTATTCCCTATTAGACTTTCATGTCAATTTGTGAGTGTTTTTCCTATGGTTTCACCCTCCTGATTACCTCCTTCATCCTGCTGGGAAGAGCGAGTGAGCAAGTAGTGGTGGTGGGGCTTCACTGGTGCCTGGGGTCATCCCACCACACTCCCTCTTTCCCATCTCACTGTCCAGTATCAGCCACTTCTTGCTGGACACACTGATTCTGTAATTATAAATATTTTGAGAGAGAGAGGGAGATGCTGCAGGGCTCTTTCTATATTGCGTCAAGTAGGGTCCAACAAGCAATGGCTTAATAAAGTAGGCATTTTAATAAGATAGAATAAAAAGAGGAATCTAGATCGTGAATAGATCTTATGTCCCTTCTGATGCCAAGTGTGATGCATTGGTTCAGCAAGGAATGGAGCCTACATGGTATTTTCCCATGGCACACTGTGCAGATCCCATCTGTGGAGATGTTCCTCGCTTCTGGTCCTTTGAGCTATTACATATTTTCTTAAGAGAAAACAACTCCACTCCTAAAGGATGTTGAGGTGAGTACTTTTGGCTTCACTGCTGGGAAAGGATGCGCAGGTTGGTTCCATGGCTGGTGCTGCCTGTGAGCTCCTCTGCTGCAACCAGCTACTGAGGCCATGGGACATGCCAAAGGCATCAGCTGGACCTGTCTGACAGAAGAGCAGGCTGTGGGTTAAGCAGTAATACATATTACACAAGTAAGAAGTTGAACTGGGACTGCTGTTTGTTTATTTCTCCACTCACCTGAACTTTGCCCAGTGTTTCAAAGCTGTAATGGTTTGAAGAGGGGTTCATGTATCTCTGCCAGCTGTCAGGTTGATTTCTGCTTTGGCATGTTTGCTTTAGGGCTTTTTCTCCGTTTGTCTGTGGAGATGGTAGCAGTACAAGTACAGAAAGGACTCTAATCATCTTAGCCTGCACAGCCCTGGTTCCTGCTCCCCAGTGCAAGGCATGTCACTATGGCCCAGAGATGAGCTTGTAGGCTGGGCATGTTTGTCAGAGGTCCTCCTTGGAAGTGGAGAGGTTGTTCCTTTGCATGCTGGTGGGTGTTCCACATCATTGCTTATATTCACTGCTCTGTTTACAAAGACCGGCACAGAAGGAGAAATAAAAAGTGGTTAAGATGGGCAATAAAACAGTATCTCTTATTAATGCTGGCTTGATTCTGTCTATCAGTTACCAAAACAGAGGCTTCTCAGTGTTAGAAGGGGTCAGGAGGTAGCTTCTGCCAGCAGTTGCGTAAGGGTTGCTGTAGAAAATCAAAGAAATGGAGAGATGAGGACCGCTGATTTAGTGATAATGCATCATGGTAGGAATGGCCAGTTTCAAGGCACTTAAGACCCATTTACTTGTTTTATGAACAGTGCAGTGAATATTTCTTTTTAATCTCCCCATGGTTGTAGTTGTAGATTGAGATATAATGTGATAATTGAAGGAAATTTGGCTACTGTAGGAATTCACATCATCCTTATGAAAACACTTATTGTGCAAGGTGTTCAAGTAGTGACTTAGAGCTTATCTGCACTTGAGCTGACATCTTGTAGGGACTTGCTATGCTTGCTTCAGTGCAACAGCATTCCTGTAATGCAGACTATAAAATAATATTAATACTCATCTTTCAAAATCAATTGACAGAACAACAGACTGGTTAGGAGAATCGCAGCAATCTGCTATTTTTGCTATTGCAGTAACTACAAGTGAAGCACCAACAGCTGTCCTCCTCCTCCTTTAAAAAACTGCAGAGGTAGCTAAATCTTGTCCTGAAACTGGTCCAACTTGGGTGGTCGATTCCTGAATCCTGTTTGCCTTTTGTCCTGCTAGGAATATGGCCACCTGGAGTCAACTCTAGAAATGGTGCTTTGCTTACTCTTTTAAGTCAGTGGACCTATTTGCAAAACTAAACCTTATTTTTACCACCTCTACCAATGTTACCCTTTGTAAACATGCTATGTCTGTTCACCACTTTCAGCTTGCTTAAACTGTATCCAAAGATTGTATAGGAACATTTTTTAATCAGATTTCTTAATCTGGAATAAGTTCTTGTTATGTTTGGAGGTTTGGGGATTATGTTGTCATCGAAATGTTAACTGATGCAAGCTATTTCATAACAAGGTGACTAGAGCTGCTCACATACTCAATTTCAATTCTCCTACAGCAGTTGTCCTAAATAGGTTAATATTAGTCTTCAAAGAACTGGTATGAAACTTTGTCTGCTTCTGTTGTCTGAATGGGTAATGTAGTTTGAGCAAATACAGATTTTTTTTTTTTTTTAATGGTGGAATTTTGCAAGTCTGTGTGGAAAAATAAATGCACCTGTTCTTTTTCTCCTCATTTGGAAACAGGATTGCTGTCTGGCAGTGAAGCAGTACTGTTTCTACAATAGTCTCTGCTTTTATACCAAGAAAGCGGTCCTTCTTAGCTCCCTCTCAGTCACTATCTACCAGATAAAGAAATCTAGTTTGATATGAAGCCTCACAAGGCTGAGCATTCTCATGTGACCTGCAGGTTGCTAAACTTTTCCTTGATGAAGCAAGACTCTCTTCAAACACCTGTTATCACCCAAGCTTTAGATAAAGCTCCTCCAGGGCACTCTCCTACTGGAGGCTTGCTGGGTCTGCTGTGGTTGGATGTTCTGTGTGCTGGGTAGGATGCTATACTGGAATCAGCAAGCACCTCGGGATGGCACCACTGCCAAAGAAAATTGCCCCTGGCTGCTTACAATATCCCGAGACCTGAAGGGGCCCTCCCTGATCATGGTGCAAGATTTTGTGCAGCTGGTCATCTTGAGGAGTTTGAGCTAACTTGTCATTCCTCCCCCTACCCCGTGTCTGGTGTCACTCACTGATCAGTTTACCTTACATCCATGGATTGACTACTAAACAACCAGGACACTTTTTTTTAGTGACCAAAACTGAATTATGTTCACACAGCAACATGCTGTAATTCAGAGTTTTTACCCTTACTGTTTCAAGTAAGGGTGAACAACCTAAGTTAAAGTGGTTGTCTGTTTCCAGTTGATACTTTAGAATCTTAATATTGTATGCAAGTTGTTACAGACTAGGCTTAACAGCTTTGTTTGAGTAGCAGAGCTACTGCTTCCCTATAGGAAATGTGAGTCCTAATGTTATCACTGGTTACCTCATCTTTGTAGGAGGGTGTTTTGGATGTCTGTGTGATAGTACCCCAAGAATGGTCTTTGACAAATACACTCTGCAGTAATGTGCAGGTTCATGTGCTGCATGTATACTGCAAGAACTTGCCTGGTGGTAGAAATGGTTGCAGTTGAGCAAGGTGCTGCTATGCAGGAAGTAAACAAAAGCCTTCCAAGAGCCCTGAAACAGACACTCCTATTTTTAATTCAGCTCCTTTTCCCCTTCAAGCCTCACAACAACCATTTGCAGTTGCTGCTGCAGGACACAGTAATACATCACACATTTGTGGGAAACCCCATCTCATTTCCCACCTACTGGATGAGAAGCAGGGGTACTTAAAAGGTAGGAGTCTGTGAAAGTATTATGGGGAACCCAGAGAACAAGCTTTGAGGACAGCTGTGCAGCCACTTGGATGCACAGTGGATGATCCGTCCTTTTTAGTGTGGCTGAAGTTTGCCATCACCTCAGTGATGCAGTGTCCATCTCCTTGCAGCATCTGTGTGCAGCTGGTCCACTGCAACCAGCAGTATAGACTCACTGGTCACTTTGGGTAGAAGATGCAACATTTTCCCTCCCCCGCCACCCTTATACATACCACTGTGGGAAAACCCCCTCTCTGGTACAGAAGATGTGCTGGTTAGTTGAATTGTGTGTAGGTAAGTAGTGACTACGGTTCTGAGAGCCATGGAAATCACAGAATCATAATGGAATCACCAAATGGTTTGGGTTGGAAGGGACCTTAAAGATCATCTAGTTCCACACCCGTCCCCTCCTCCCCTGCCATGGGGAAGGACACCCTACAGTAGAGCAGGTAGCACAGAACCCTATCCAACCTGGCCTTGAATACTTCACGGGTGGGTCATCCACAGCTTCTCTCAGCAACCTGTTCCAGTGCCTTACCATCCTCACAGTAAAGAATTTCTTGATCACATCTAATCTAAACCTCTCCTCTTTCAGTTTAGAGCCATTGCCCCTTTGTCCATGAGGCGTGACGGAGTTTTTCGTAACTCCTGGGTAGAAGGAAGAAGCCGGAGACAGGGAGCAGGATCCGGGGCGGCGGCTCAGCGGGGCCCGCGGAGGGGAGGGGAGGGCGCCCAGCTGCGGCCGGGGAAGCGAGCCCGGCACCCCTCTCCCTGTCCCGGTGCGTGTCCGAGGGCCGCCCCGGTGCGGGGGCCAGGCAGCGGTGCCCCAGGGAGCGGCGGGGGGCGGCACGGCGCCGGCAGGCGGGGAGGAAAAGGAGGAAGGAGAGCGCGGCTCCAGGGCCGCGATCGCCGCCGCTCCCCGCCGGAGGAAGGGGCGGCCCCGGCGCTCATTGGCGGCGGCGCGGCCGGTCGCGGTGGCGTCACGGGCCGCCCGGGGCCGGCACTGCCCGCCCGCGGAGCGCCGCGGGGATGGAGGCGGCGGACGGGGCAGCGGCAGCAGGTACGGGGCGGGAGGACGGGGTGGATGGACGGGTGGGCGGACGGATGGACGGACGCGCGTGTTCGCGCGGCTCGGGATGCACCGGGCGGGGAGCGCGCGGCTGGGTGATGGAGGCGGGGAAGCCCCCTCGGAGAACCGACCGGGCGGCTGGGCGGGGGTGGCGGCGGCGCCGTGTGTCCGTGCCCTCCCCGGCCGCTGGCGGATCTGCTCGGCGCTGGCTGCCGTGGCAGAGCCGGGTTTCCCCTGTGCAGCGGTGGGCGGGGGCGGCCCCGACCCGCCCGCGGCAGGGCGGTGGTCCCGGCTGGGCAGCGCCCGGCCGAGAGCGGCCGGAGCAGTCCCTGGCAGAGGCAGGCTGACGCCCCGTTCCTTTCCCCAGGTCTGGGCGCCGCGGGAGAGGGCGCAGCCATGGTGCCGCATCCCGGCCAGGAGCCCGCCCGCGGCTAGAGCCGGCCCCGGCCGGAGAGCTGCGGCGGGGCATCCCTCAGCCTGAGCGCCTCCCCGCGCCCCCCCGGCATGGAGCCGGGCGGCCTGGAGTGGCTGCTGGTGCCCATGCAGCAGCTGGTGTCGTGGGGCGCCGCGGGGGCCATGGTGTTCGGCGGCGTGGTGCCCTACATCCCCCAGTACCGAGACATCCGCCGGACACAGAACGCCGAGGGCTTCTCCACCTACGTCTGCCTGGTGCTGCTGGTCGCCAACATTCTGCGGATACTTTTTTGGTAAGCTGGTGATGTGTCTGCACGGTTCTGAAGATTCATGCTTACTTGCTAGGTGTAAAGCTTTGATTGGAATATTTGGGAAATAATGTGTTTTACATACTTCCCCCCCCCGCTGAAGATCAAAATACTGTCTTTCCATCAGTTTGTGAGTCTGTTTTAAGTAGAATGAATTGGGCTCGGAAGCATGGTCTGTTCCCCTTGCCATAATAAATCTGATTATCAGTGCACTGGTTTCCGAGATGTAACTTTTTAACTTGTTGGTAAAGAGATTTATGCTAAGTCAGGTCTTTTTTCTTGCTGACTGTATTGTACATTTCCCTTGCCCCTCTAGCTCCGTTCTCAGAGTGAAAGCCTCCATCCCCGCATGCTCATTCTAGTGTCTAGTTGGCATTAACGACACTGGAACATTTGCCATATGTTCTTGCGTTTTCCCGGGATGCCAGCTGGCTTCAGAGGGGTTTCACTTGTAGAACTCTCATGCACAACTACAGATGAAAATATTAATTCTTGGATAAGCAGGCAAAAGGTGGGCTGCCTTTCAAAGCAAATTCCTTTTGTTTTCAACAGCAGTTTCAGTATTTAAAAGCAAGTTTGTTTCTATGTTTAGCTCTTGTGCTGCTGGACAAAGAAGATGTTATTAGGGTATGATTTCTATGAATTCATTCTATTAACATCTTCCTCGTTACTTCTAATAATAGAGATGCTACAACACTGGCAATGTACATGGGAAACCAAAGATTGAATGGTCTGGGAAGTTACTGCAATTAAGAACAGTTATTCTCTGATTCTATTTTGACTACAAAATACTGCTTTGTAATCCATGAAGAACTGATAGGTGACAGGCTGCACCCTCTTTTTCGTTTCCAGTTTCTTTCTAAAGCTCCTCTCATTCTGTATAATGGCTTCTTGGGTTCTTCTACAGCAAAATGTGACTGTAAGTGCTGTGCTGGAGTGGGAAAACAAGGGACCCTTTCTTGGCACCACAAGCTGGCAGTCAAACGGAGAAGTCATTGCTAGATCCGAGCTACTTGTTGCATTAGACCTGTGTTTTCCTGTGGAGAAAAGCAGCTCTTGGAGAAAGCAGAGAGCAGAAGGAAGCAGAGGAACTGTCAGGGGGAGGAGAACTTAAAAGCCTGAGTTAACAGTTTGAGAAATAGAAATTGTCTAATTCTTTGTTCCACCAAAGGTAGTCAAAATATGCAAAGTACTTACATCTGAATGGAGACGCTGGCAGTTTCTAGGTAACCCAGGTGACTGCATCTCTTAACTGAGACAGACTATGGAAGACTATGAAAGATCTTTAATATTAATTGGCTTTAAGTAGACCTGGCTAGGAGATGTGCAGAGGAATAAATACTGCGAGTAATGAAAAGTTGTAATTTATATCAACGTTAAAAGATTTGTCAACACTTCAAAAGAGAGAGAATGCAGTTATGTTGATAGGAGTATGTGGTTTTTTTACTGTAATTATTTAAGCCACATAATGGTCTCACTCCCTGACACATACAAGCACTGTGTAGGCCCTGGGTCATCTTGGAGCTTGGCAGGGAATAGTTTCACCTGGCACATGCCACTCTATGGGGAAACGTAGGCATGAGCCTGCAGAAACCTTGCTGCCTGTACTTGCAGAAACTAAAAGACAAAAGAATATTTGCATAATGATAATTAAATGTTCCCTGAGAGAGAATATTTTGCTCGTCTACTTAAAAAAATGGGGCATCCCTGGTAGTTAATTATAAACACCAATAAGTCATGAAAGCAGCATTGAGGTTGGATGTTATCCTTGGGCATATGGATGATTAAAGAAAGATAATAGAGCAAGAGCCTCTGATTTCTGTGAACATGGTTAAAATGCATCCATAGAGCAACTTAGGAATTCAATTTTTGCATTAATTGGTTAATGTCAGCTATGGCTGATGCGTTACTTGGTACACAATCTCAATAATATGACAAAACAGCAGAATTATTTTAGTTGTGTATGTAATATTAATTGGAGGGAATGAAAAGGTTTTTGTTTATTTCGTTTTAAATTTATAAAGTCATTTAAATCCATTCTGATGCCAGAACAGAACTGTTCCTATAAGCAACTCTGTTCTGTGTATAATTTTTTTACCAGTTGGGATTTCCTTCCCTTCAGCAAACCCAAGTTTTAATCCACATCTCACTTCTGAAAACTTTACTGCCATATAGCTGCTGTTTTCAATTGGGTTTAGTTTCTCTTCATTACCCCTGGTTAGTAAGCACATGATTTGAGCCAGAGTCATGCTTCTTGACTTCCCCTCCACTGTGATCCAAAAATAAATACTTAAAGTGGTAGACCTTACACTTTTTAAAGTTTTAATAGAGTTGCTTTTCAGGGCTTAATTATTTCTTAGGATGGCTGGTGTTTGTGGTTTTTGTTTGTTTTAGTTTTAACTTCAAAGACACTTCTATAATTCAATTCTGTTGTTACTTCAAGATTTTCCCTGAATTTTCCCTGAATCCCTCAAATTATTGAATTTGAGGCTTACAGAACAGACAGTTCCTGCCTTTCATACCAGGTTGCATCTGTATTTTCACTCTTGAGTACTGCTGGTCTGTCTGTGTTTTGTCACTTGGAACAGATCCAGTCCCACCTTTCACCTTTGTCTCTACTTGTTCACCTCAGCTATGGGGGCAATTCCCTCGTTTTCAGTTTGTGAAACGACATATTCCACATGTTCCTGTAACTGTACTTGTTTATCTCAGAGGGTTTTTTTGTTTTGTTTTATTGTCTGGTTTTGCAGTGGGTGAAGTTTGACCTTTTGTATCCCCTCCAAGTAGTGTATTTACTTCCTAATCTTCTGGCGTATTTTATGTGTCAATAGACTTGCAGGTGGTGTATTGCACTGTGACAATAGTCAATGAACAAAGTACTGCTGAGATCAAGGATAACAATCCTGTTTTGAGTTAGCTGTTTTCACAAATTCGGTTCCTCCAATTAGACTGTCTCCAATGGTAAGCCATCTTTTCAAGTCAAGAAGTCTCAGTGCAGTACCTCTCTTCCTTGTCTTCCTTGCATCTAATCCCTTAGTTTCAGGGTGTGCTCAAAGAACGTTAGCTTGCCAGAGATGACAGTAACACATTACCCATTAAGTAATTTTTCATGCTTCTCTTTTACATGATGTCTCAAAATGTCATTTTAAAAGAGACATTTTTGCTTTCAATTATGTTTGTTTGGCCTTACTGTGTTCCAGTAACAAGTTACATGCCAGAACTTTGTGTAACAACATTGGGAAAGGGCTGGTCTGCAAGAATAAAAACTGTGTATGTATAGCAATGGGCATGATTCTACTTCATTTTGTTTATGCATACATGGCTTTTGTTTAGGAAAAAGAAACTAGAAGTTTGACCCTGATGAAGTCTTGGGCCCTTTTAAAGAGGATTCTTAAAAAAACAAAATTAAAAAAAAAAAATTGATAAGTAGACAGTTTGTTGTTAGAGCATCACCCAGCAGGGTCTGTTTACCAGTGTGAAAGTAGATTTTGTGCTGTACTGAACTTGCTACCAAGTTAACTTTATTTTTAGTGGTAATCTGTTGTTACAATTTTATATAACGCATCAAAGCAATGTTTATTTTGGGGTGCCAGTATAGCTGCTGGACATGATTTATTATTGCATCAGCTGTTCCTTTGTTCTAGTCCTTCCACCACTGTCAGTACTGCTCCTTCTGTCTGTCTTCTCCAGCCCCATAGTCACTGTTTCTCTGGAGTGGTCAGTCTGGAGAAGATCTGTGCTCTGGACAGAGAGTGAGAGGCAGTGCAAAACTCAGTGCCTTTGTAATTCTGGTACATGTGAAGCTGTATGGCCTGCTCCAAAAAAATCTGATAGCAGTTTTTTTCCCTCTGCATTTTTAATTAAACTCTTCATTAACATTTTTGTTAGCGTATGTCTTGCTGTACTTTCTGAATTAGCTCTGTTTTCTTGCTCAAGGGATAACCTGATGCTTGAGCTTTGAAGTGATTAATTATCTGTTTAAGCTGTCCTAGGCAGTTTTAGAAGTTGTAGGATGGCTTCAGAGTGCCCTTGTGGCACATGAGCTCAGTTGTGACCAAGATGGACACACCTTCTGGGTTCATGTGGCCTGCAGTCTGAGTAGCTTTGCATTGTCATGATCAAGAACAGGAATAAGAAGGCGGGTGAGAGTTGTATAATCAGTTGGGGGTGGAGGATGCAGAAAAACTTACTTGTGATTTCTCTGTCTCTTCCCCCTCTCTTCGCCCTTTTTTAAAACGGAGCTTATGATGAGATAAATTATGATTTCTTTTAATATTAAAATCAGAATAAATAGCTAGAGGAAAAGGAACTGCAGTAGGCATTTTGATTTGTATCTTGAGTAAGTGCAGTCAAAAGTACTTATGCTTCCTGCTATTCCCAGAAGTTTTTGGACTTTTTTTTTTTATTTTTGCATTTCATAAAATGGATGTCATAGTATAATATGGTTTGTATATTTTCCAATAAGACAATATTCTTTCTAGAGGTTTCAAGATGCAATTCTTCAGGCCACTGTCCTAACCCTTATACAGCAATACCACAGAAATCCAAACAACAGAAAATAAAACCATCCAATTTTGCAGTTGTTCTCACAAAATAGTTGCCTTAAGACAAACTGTGGGAAGAAGTTCTGACAGTCAGGGAAAAGATGAGAACTATGGAGTTGCTGTAACGCCTACAGTGCCTCTACTGAATCAGGTTTCTGCTGTCCAGTGTTGCTTTGGCTTCAGAAAGTGGGGCAGTGCTGTCTGTTTGTAGGACTTTCTGTGAAAAAGAGAAACGCCTTTTAAGGCTTCTGTTACTAAAATGGATCTTGCTAGCTTTTACCATGTGGAGAGTGTGGGAAGATGCTATAAATCAAGCTGACAGAGTGACTAGAACTTTGAAAGATTGCCTTACATATGGCCTGCTGGTGGAATCTTGCTTAGATATTGAGAGCAAAAGCATTACTCAATTCCTCCTCCTTTTTTAAAAGTGATGGAGAGCAGGGATAAAATGCATTTCTCTTCTGTGCAGAAAGTAAAGTGGAATTTTGTATGCCCAAGTGAAGAACTTGATTTGGGATGTTTACCATAAGTCTTGGAAGTGTATGTATCAAGAAGAAACTCATACGAAAAGATCCCGTTGCAAAACTAGTTTGTTTCTTGTCCTTCCTACTGATTAAATTCTGTAATTCCGTGGGACGTCTTTCAGGACAGCTGCTGTGCTGCTACCGTGGGCTGTCTGTCATGGCCACGGTGGTGTGTGGAATATCCTGTGTGCTTTCCACGTTGCCTAGAATCTGTAACTTCCCAAAGAACAGGAAAAGTCTATAGCATCCAGCGGGTGGAAGCTGAAACAGCATCCAGGAGTGTAGGAGGAAGCAGGGCGATGATGATCTGTTTGCACCAACAACAGTCAGTTTCTTTTCAGAGATGTCTTAGGAAAAAAATATAAGCAAATCATTTGTGTTTGGTCTAGTTTAGGCTTCTTTTGCACAATTGGCATTTGCTATTTTGAGTAGGCCTAGGACTGGAATAGCAGGATTATGGCAGCAGGATTGAATCGTACCAATGGAATTAAGTAGCTTTCTCAATGAGTAGTTAGTCTCTGCTCTGGCTTGAATGTTCACTTCTCTTGTCTTCACCACCCTGAACATGCATTAGTCTTTTTAAGGCTGTGGAAGTGCTGATAAAATGTAAGCTCCTCCCTCCCTTTATTTGTACATTTGACTAGTACAGGAAAAAAAGAGTTCTTTTGTTTTTACAAACAAAGTAAACAGTGTAGTCTGACATATGAAGTCTGAGTTCCCTGTATACTCAAAGTGTCACTGTTCACTTTATGACACAGCATTGTAGTTATGGGGTGAAAATGCAGAATAATAGTGGTGAACCCCTCACCCCAGGACTTCAAAGCTGTTCATTTCTGCAAGCCTGTTCTAGTATCCTAAGGCTCTTCATCTCTCTCTCATAACATACTTTAATTACTTTGATGTTCCTCCTCTCCCAGGAGGCTTTGCTTAGGCAAAGACAGGAATAATGTCTGCAAGGCAGAAAGTAAGCAGAACATGGAATAGCACGCTCTCCCTGCAGGGCTTACATCTCACAGTGCTCCTGACTCAGGCTGACCTGAGGAGTCTTAAACTGGATTAGTATTGCTTTGGCAGGCCCTAATATCAATGCAGAGTAGGGTGAGCAGCTTGAAGTGGTGTTTATGTCCATGACCCAGAGCAAAATGAGTGTTCTGGCTTTACTTTTACAGCGTCAAGAACCCAACAGTGGTCCCTGACACTGGTATTCCCTCTAGTCTTGTTACCCAGGTAGTGTGGTGTAGGCCATGTCGTGTTTGCTCTGCAGCTGGCAGCTGTTTGTTTTCCTGTATATGTGACCTAGTTTAAAGGTGTTACCTGCAAGACTTGTTTTGGGGATTGGTGTTTGGGAAGATGTATTTCTTACGCGTATGTTTTGTTGATCCGAGAAGAAGAGGGCAGTAGTTGCCATGCCTGTGAGGCTTAGGACTCAGTCAGCGTGATGTGGTCAGAGAGTGACTGTAGTAATGCACTTATTGAGCATGTGGTGGGGATTGCTGAGCTTTCATCAAGTAATGTAGCAAGAGGAGCTTGAAGCATCACTGCTCTTCAGTGAAGGGTTCTCATTTTCCTGTGGCAGGATTTTGTGCAATCACATAAAAGTAAGCTCTTCAGTCAAGACTGGCCACAATACAAGTTACCTCTCTGTTTTGTACACGAAGTGCTCAGAAGCCCCCATCAAACATCATTTGTACTTCCTTACTTCCCTTACTTCCGCCAATCTTGGTCCAAATAAGAAAAATATTAATGAAATAATTGGTGTGTTCTGCAGACCTGGTCTTTCCACTCAGATGTCTAAAGGCAGACAGGGCTGTAGGTATTTATTTCTTTATAGGGAGAGTTCTATTGTCTTTATGCCTTCACATTAAAAATTGAAAAATTGAGAAAGGTAAGTTTTGCACAGAAGTCCATGTGGAATCTACTGAGTGTGTATGTGGAGAGCACACATAATTGGTTTTAATGTGGCATAACCCTCTGGTCTCTCTGTACTGACTTGACCGCTTCATGAATGTGGTTCTCCTTTCAAAATAATAGGTTTGCTGCTGGCTTTGGAAACAAAGACTTAAGGTTCTGGCTTCAGAATCTCTAGGATCACTTGAAATAAGGTTCTCAGATACTCCTGCTCTGAGCTACTGTATGTGCATCCAGGTTTGGCTGGTGACTTTGACTTCCTCAGCCTTTCATACCTGTTGCTGGTAGCATTTCCCTTTCCACATGCTTAAATGCTTTATGTATTTTCTTTTCTTTTTTTTTTTTTTTTTTAGGTTTGGAAGGCGTTTTGAATCCCCTCTTTTGTGGCAAAGCATTATCATGATCATTACAATGTTACTGATGCTGAAGCTGTGCACTGAAGTCCGAGTGTCCAATGAGCTAAACATAAAGCGCCGCTCTTTTGCAGGTCAGTGACGGGAACTGGCTTTTGCAGGATAACTGCTTTTGAAAGTACAGTGCGCTGCATTTTGTACAAAAGTTCTGTCTGAATTGCAGTCCAGTCTCTTTTCCGGATGATTTGGTGCAGGGCTTTCTAAACTCCTATTCTGAAACATCTTTTTTTCCAGGTAAATGTATGTACAGATGGGTCTCGATTCAGTCTAGAAATTTCCTTAATATTTCACATCATGCTCTGAATACAGAGCTCGTTGTTATGCCATTGTGCTAGCCTGGATTAATTTTTAAGATCTTGGCTGGAATAAGAAGTTATTTTCTTTAGCTGTAATTTGTACCAAGATCATAGTTCTGATTATACATTATCATCTGAAATTTTATTTTGTTGCAATTTATTGTAAACATTTGCTTTTGTATGAAACTAATTTTCTACTTACTTGAGTTATTGACTGTCAAAAGAGGAAGTGCTGACATATCATAGTTGCAAAACTATCTTGTTTTGTGTACCCTGGGGTTTTAGTGTAGGATTAGTTGGGATTTATGGGAATTCTCACTTTTTTTTTTTTTTTTTTTTTTTGTTAATTTTTAGGCATTGATAATTTCAGTCAGGGCAGAGTATTATTCTTTATTTAGTAAAATGTTCAGGCTTTGTGAAAAGTACCTGTTTTTTAACCCTCAGATAAGAGACGTGAGAGGGGTAGGTTTTTGTTTCTCTGTGTTGACTTTGACTTACAACATTTTATGTAACAGCTTATTACCAACAAGAACAGAATTAACACTGTCAGCTTTTTGTCAGTTGTTTTGCCATTATGGATGTATAATTTATGCTCTCCATCTGTTCTCTTCCACACTCCCTAATAATTGAGGGTCTGATCCAATTCCAGATATCCACAGCCATCATTAGAAGGCAGCAGCTACTGGCTGTGCAGTAGGGTAATTTATCTAATAGCTAAGGAAGCTACTTCCATTCCTGCTCATTGTGGAGTGTAGTGTGAAACTATTCAGGTAAGTGAATTCATGTGGAAGAGGAGCTGTACTCCAACTTCCAAACGCAAGCCGCTGTGTTCACAGGGGTTGTCAGTCTGGCAGGATGAATTACTTAAAACCTACTTTCAGCCAGATTTAGCAGCAGTTAAAATCCAGGAAACGTAAGGGAGGGGCATGTATGCTTTGGCGTCTGTGCTAGTGGAGTGACAGAGAGGTTTCTCTGTTTGTCCTTTCTGAGAGGAAATTATCCTTGTGCACATTTACACACACACACTGTAGCAGGCTGCTTCGATAACCTTTGGACGAAAAGGGAGGCTTTTCGGTTTAGTATATAGCCCTCTATAAACAACTCTTCCTGAAAGACAAAGAGCATACAGTCTCCTAAAGGATAATCAGTCTTTCCCTTGTCAGATGATAGAAACTCCTTAAGGTTGCATTGTGTCATTTGATCCTTTTTGCAGAAACTCAGAGTGTCATGTGGAATTTGCTAGAGAAACAGATTTTACCTGTTTGTTGACCTTAATTATTTGTTTTCATTGAAAGGTTTGCATTGTCCCACAAACTTTGAGAACAGTTAAATTATTTTTCTTGCCTGGGATTGATTTTTAGTAAGGACAGCTGTGGCTCACTGTAAAAATACAGATGTGTACAAAGCTCCTTTCAAGCTAGACAGAATGGTGTTTCAAGCACAGTATGAGTAGGAGTGAGATCTGTGCTTCTAGTCCTACACCTAATCTTATCTCTTCAAGTTTTATGGTCATTTAGGCAAGCTGATAAATTTGTATACTTACTTTCTTTCCTCGTAGCTTACTGAGGCAATGAAAATCTATGTTTGAAGTCAGTGTTTTTGATTAACCTTGCAGAATCCTGAGGGGAAGGTACACAATTTCTGCATGATAATGTAATGTATTATTTCTCACATGGCTGGCCTTAATTTCAAACATTTTTCTTTTTTAACTTCTATCTTCTCTTTAAATGTTTCTGCAAAATAATCCAAAATATTTAGAAAGAATATTTCAGTGGGAGTTCGTTGTTTTCTTAAATTACTGTTAAATGTGATACCTCCTCCAAGTTACAGAAGTATATGTTTACCAGTATGTTTTGAATGATCTAGGAGTTGCCTTTTCTTTTCTTTTGTTTTTATTATTCTCACAAATAAGGTCCCTTAAGTAATAACTAGTTCAGTAGGAATCTACTTCCTATCTTTGAGCATTCAGAAGCAGTCTCTTCAGATCCTGACAAGCTTATTCTGTATTCTCTAATCTGTTTTGTGGTGTTACTGGGTTAAAACACATATCAATAGCAATTCAAATATAGGCATAAAGCCATTCAGTCGAAATTCTTGTGGTTTCATTTGTAAGGTAACTATCGTAGCATGAAAAATGCAGTCTTCCTAGACTCTTTCTAATAATGTTTGATTATTTTTTGTAGACTATATAGAGGACTTAAAAAGATTATCCAAGTTTTCCTAATTTTTGTCCTTCTCTCAGTTACTTCTCAATTATGGGATTTCCCCCCTGCACTTCTAGTATTGCAAAGTAAAAGTAAGTGGTGGAGCCCATCTTGTGCTGCTGCTGCCTTCTCTGATTTTTTTGTTTTGGATACATAAATTTTATCCTTCTAGTACAAGTACTGATCCAAATCAGAGTAAGTCCTCTTTATATATCCTACTGTTTTATTAATTTTTTTAAACTTGGACTGTGTAGCCTCTTTTTAGTAGTTCACATTGGGAAAAAACAACACCCCAAACAAGCAAAATACGAGAACAACAAATACCCCCAACTTGATTTTAAAACTTCGAGTGATAGGATAGTTCTCTCTCCTGCATATGAATGCTTTGAAAGCTACAAGAAGGAATCTTCAGGCAAAATCAGCAGGCATGAACAATACCTCATCTTTTGTCCTGTATTTAATATCACTTGCATTTTAACTGTTTTAATGGAGATCTTCTGGTACCGTTGTTGTGGTAACAGTAGCTTTCCTTATTTGTTTCCAACCTTTAAATTGGTGTCTGTGCATCTGTATGTATGCTGCATTTTTTGTTCACTGCAGAAAGATTCCGGGTTCAGTGGCAATTTTTTGTTGTTGATTTTATTCAAAGTGTTCTATTTCTGGGGCATGGTGGTGCAGGCACGCTGAAGAGCTGAATATTGAAAAGCAAAATGTGCATGTGCTATGTTTTGGCTTGAGAAGAGGTGGCTGAGGCAAGGTGATCACAGATACAGACAGCTGCAAACATCTGGTCAGTTTTGAGAATGCTGGCAGGCAGAGCGGTCTCTCTGTATTCATTGAAAGACAGACATTCTATGAAAAACCTTTTCTCTCTTTTCACATCTCTTCAGCAAAGACTTCAGTCATACCAAGATACTGTAACAGATTTTGAGCCCCCTGAATTTATGAACGGTACTGAGAACTAGTGGACAGCATTTCTTAAAAACAGGCTCTTGTATGTCTCTCCGTACTGTACTGCAGCTCAGGCTCTGTAAGCAGAACATGGGCTCTTGCGTTTTTACATGAAGATGATTTCCTCTGATTATTCATCCAGTTTTGTCTTCCTTCCAACTGCTAGTTGTCTTAATCTGCTTTATAACTTGTATCTTATTATAGCGCTCTGATCCCTTGAAGAGCTCTGTTTTTGGCACTGGAAAACACTCTTGTGTAATACATGGTTTTCAACTGGCAGAGGAGGGTTAGAGTGAAAGTGTAGCATGAAGCACGGGTGCAGATGAGGTCTGTTCTATTCTTGACGATGGGCTTTGTGAAAGTATTTCGGAACAGCATTTTCCATTGGAGGCAGGGCAACTGTATTGTCTCAGCTGTTTATGTGTACATACCTGCACACTCAATGTTGCTGAGATAACAGTTTGTTTTCTCTGATCATGAAAAGTAAGAGTTTCTATAGTATCAAGTAAGAATCAAGCTGTTTGTTGCATTGTTTTTTAAGTCTTTATTTTCCCCTCCTAGGTACATTGTTGTTGGGTTGTGCATTGAGGCTGTTCTGGGACTTCCTACTGCTTAACCCTATCTTTTAACATCCTGGGGTGGGAGCCTTCAAGAAAGCATGGGGACTAAAGTTTCTAACATGGTTTGGTTTGGTTATTATTTTTTAATAAGTAAAGTGTGCTAACTGACTAAACTGTAACTAAAATAACCACTGTTGCATTTAATCATAAAAGTCTGTTTGTCTTTCCTTTCTTTCCCCCCCTCAATTATTTTTATGTAGCTGCAGATAGTAAGGATGAAGAAATCAAAGCACCTCCCAAGAGATCCTATCTGGGTATGTACTGTAGAAACCCATTCTGCATGAAGTTGTCCTCTTAACTACATATCTCATGATTTACTTCTTTTTGTGACCAGTTTTGGAAATAATTGCATGATTATTTCTGTAGAGAATGTTTGCGTTACCTTTTTTTGGCATACTAAAACCTGGTTTCTCTTTTTTTTTTTTTTTTTAATTTTCCCTTGTCCACTTTTAATATTCATAGAGGAAAAGATGCTTTCAGGTCTTTTTCAGAAACCAAGTCTTTCAGGACAGTTGAATTTGACCACACTGTGTGTCTCAATGGTGTCTTCCTTACTCCTTCCCCAAGCTGGACAAACAAAATATTACATGAGGCAGAGATCCACCTCTTCAGACTCAGTCGTCTTCTTCCAGCTCTAACTCTGGAGGAAATTATGAAAAATACAGAAGTATCTTTCAGAATTGTTGAGAATGCTAGATAAGAAATTTCACACAACACTTATGTTCAAGCAAAATGCCTGAATCCTTGTGAAATTTGCCTGTTCCTCTTTCATTAGAGCAGACTCAAAATTGTTATTTGGGAACTAGTAACACTTAAGATGAGAGCTTCAATTTCAGAGTTGGAATCTATGTTGTTTGATTTCCCTAAGGAAGAGGAAATATTAGGTGCAAACCAGCTTTGCAGTATTTTTGAACTCTTAGTAGTTTTAGTCAAGTCATGGTAATTTTGTTTTAAATTCGTTGGGGTATTGCATCGAAGAAGTTATACTGACTAGAGACACAGAAGTTCCCCAGAGTCAACTTTTAGACTGATTTTAATTCAATTCATTCAGAATCTCACATTGATACTAGTTGTGCTCTGTTGGAATTCTTTAAGGAGTCAACTGAAAATATACATTACTGAAGCAAAAGGAGAACCTCTGCTTCTATATTTCTCAACACACAATTAAACTGGAGTTAGTTCTGAGAAACACTACTGAGGAGTGGTATTAACTGAAAGCTTTCTTGAAGCCATAAGACCGTTCTTGTTAAGGTTTAAATAGACTCTCTTTTAATGATTCATCTTTTGGATCATCCTTTTGAGATTTAGGGGCAAAATGCATGCTTTGGGAAATTTTTTTTTTTTTCTGGTCTGATACCAGTATTTTGCAAAGCACCTTTTCCTTTTGTGTTTTCAAAACATTTTTTTCTGGATTTGGTATCAAGCTATTTGGTTTTTCTGTTTGTCTTTAATTCTAGTTTGTAGTCCTCCTCACTGGCTTGCAACACTAACCAATGAAATGTAATGTTTAAGCAGTCCTGTATTCCTTGTGCCTCCATTCCTTTTGTCTTTTACTAGTATTCAGCAGTGCTTTATTTACAGTGTCAGAGCTGGAAACAGCTGTCTGCTTCAAGTAGTTAAAATTAAACAGAAATAAGTAACTTAATATGACCATTCACTTGTTTCAGATTACTTTTTCTTGTCTTCTGGGTTAAAAAATTATTTGTTGGTGGTTTGATAGCTTAAAAAGATAAAGGTTTTAGAGTAAAGCACCATACCTCCTAATCCAGTTGATTTAAATCTGAAACATTTGGTTAATAGGTGTTACTTGAAGTTCATTCTGAAATTACTTAGCAAAATGGGATGAATGGAATTATCGCTAAGGAACAAAACAGTCTTAGCTACTGCTCTCAGAAGTTCCAAGAGTGGGGTGGGCAAGGCTGGAAATGTGATAATTCTTACTGGTGTAAACAAATTAGAAATGTCTTGAGGTGTTTGTGTATAATGTACATACAAAAGTATGTGCTGGTGGTTTAAAGAGTGGGATGCATGGTGCCGTATATCATACTTCAGTTTACAGAGGGCTTAACTGAGCTATGTCTTGCAGTGCTGTGTTTTGCTGCAGCTCTAGGGAAGCTCACTTAGAGATTAGGTAAGGGGAATATTTGCCATACTTTCATATGCTAGTGCATTCTCACTGTGTCCTTTAGTCAGTTTTAATTAAAACTTTTGTTCAAGAAAAACAGATTTGTGTTTTTTTTTTAATTTCCCCTGTTTATTTCAGTGGTGTAAAAATATTCTTTGATATATTTTTAGGCTTCAGAAATCATTATATTACTTTCTTTTTCTGGTTATGTAGTAAACGCTCTGTATATTGTGTTTGTAATTGAAGATTATCCATGAACACTCTTTTTGTTACAGAGCTGTTGAATGATTAATCTGAAAATGTACTGGTCTACCAGTGAATTTCAGGTGAACTTGTTAGATAAGTGCCGAGGCGTTTGTTTGATGCCTCCCTTTGAATAGCAACTGAACTCCTGCTGTGCTCCCTGGGACTGCTTTTAGGTTAGTTTTATTGTCAGTAATCCAACAAATCACTTAATGTCGCGGTTTTTCCACCTTATCTGAAAAAGCCTTTATCTCTGGCACATGACTCTGAAAAGTGACTTTCTAGCAGTCAGTACTGAGGAGAGTTAAGGGTGTGGGAGAAGTTTGATGCAGTTTGAGTGATATAAGTAAAATAAATAAAGTTTACAGGACAGCCCCAGAGTGTAGGGTTTCCTGATTTCATACAGAAATAAAATTCTTCCCCTTTTTTTCCTGGACAGAGGAAGGTTTAAGAAGAAACTTGTAGCTCTAGTTCTGAAGGAATAATGCTTTATTCCCTATGTTTTCTGATGAAGGTATCTAGTTCTACCTAGTGCCTGTTAGCAAGGCAACTGGTGAGGCTGAGCAAAGGTGCAGTTGAGCGATGTTTGATTTTTTTAATTTACTCGGTGAGGTGTCTTAATTGTGGATAGTTGAGCCCTGTGAGTGTTGGAGATTGTTGGGGTAACAGAAACGCTTAACAAGTAATAAAATACTAAACATTGCACTGAACAGGCTATTGTTCAGAGTGGTCTCCTAGGTGTGGCAGGTGAGACACAAAGTGGATGTGACTTGTTTGTTTTTTTTTTCCCCCAGGTAGGTAGTTAACCATTTTGGAAGACATTCCTAAAGGGTTCTCCTTCCTTCTCTGAAGGTGGTTTTAAAACTTTACATGTTACTGAACCCTGAACCTGGCTTTTAACACAAACAAAACCTCATCAAGTAACATTAAATTTTAAAAGACTAGTAATAAAATGAAAAAAAATTAGATTCACCAAGTATCTGTTGCAAAATATTTCCAACTACTTTTTTTTAGGGGCGGAAAAAGATAAAGTGCCTGTGTAGTTGACTTCACAGACTTAATATCTACATAATAATGAGGAGGAGATAGTAATGTGAATTTAGCAGATGCAGGCATCTGCTACTTGGTTTCCACTGGCAGTGTGACAGCCTGGTGAATACATCATGCTTTCACCTCTCCTTTTGTCCGCACTCTTTAGGTAACTCAGGGCATCAGTCGGCATGTGATAGATTAAGTGTTGACATATTCTAGAACAGCACTAATATAGTACATGTGCCACGAAGGACGTAAACTTTATTTAATCAGCTCTCTGGCTTCTTCTGTTCAGAGCGTTTGGTCTGTTTGGATTCAGCAGGGGCACCAGGTTTGGAGGTGTGGGCTTTGATATTCCAGGGTGCTCTGTAAGTCAGGTGCACAATGTGCTTCTCTGTCCAGGCCTCGACAACCTGAGCAGAGCTGAGGATAGAGCAGAGACACAGTTTTCCTTGTCTGGTTGTGGACAGCACTTTGGTTTCACTGAAAGTATGTGACTTTGATGCCATGCTGCCCAGTAGTTGAATTCCCTGTACAGTGGACATTTAAATACGTAACAAAAAGCATAGTTGTTGCTTGGAAGGGTTTAGATCCCTTTTCCCCAGGATTATACATTTATCTAATTAAATTCTGTATTCCAGTGAGACACTTTCCTTTCAGAAAAGACAGCTGGAAAGGGAGAAACCCAAAGAACGTTTGGTGATTTCTGAGGCCTTGGAGCAGCTATGATCCCTGCCTCTGGCATTTTGCAGTTTCCTTAAGGTGAGAGACCCAGAAACACACACCCCTCAGCGAGGTGGTGGCATAAGGCCAGTCTGTTTCCTGCATGCCTGTGTGCATATTACCCGGTGGAACGTAGAGCTCCGTGTGAAAGCACATTCCTGACCACAGTGGTCAAGGAATGGAGTTGCTTTTATTCTCCCACTTCTGTGTGCTGGAGGCAACTGAGCCACATGGCTATGGAGGGAGGAGCAAGGAGGAGGGAAGGAGGGAGGCTTGCAGTAAATCTGTCCACAGACTTAGAGATACTGTGGTAAGGGATCCAGGTGGGCAGGTCACTCTGGGAATGCATGGCATGTAGGAGATTTATACCTGAGAGAAAAGTGGTGACTTGTGTGAGAATAAAGGTGGCCACTTTTCTTCAAAGGCTATAGGTGTTTTTTGTTCATTGGAGACGTGCATGAACTTGGCAATAGAAGTGGAAGAGACTGACATTACCTGCATGAGTGATACATAAAGCATGAGGCAATAGTGAGTTGGAGGGGAGAATCACAAGGGTAAAAGAAAACTCCTGGGTTGAGATACAGACACTTTCATGTGTAAAGTAAAGCAGAACCTTTGCTTGTAGGCAAATCAAAATAAGAATTTAATTCCCTACTTCCTATCGGCAGGCAAATGTTTAGAGATTTCCAGGAAAGTAGGGCTTCACCATGGCTAGACAAACTCTGTAATTCCAGGCATCCCCCCTTCCTCCTCTTGAGCCTGCTGCTTACACTTTCTGTGATCACTTGATGAATGTGTGAGCCAGCACAGACAGGATCTACTGTGTTTTGATCTACTCCAGAGCAGGGCAGGAGTCTCAGGCATGTTTGATAGTGTGTCTCATACCACAGGCCTATGTTATCTAAACACAAATGTTTGAGTTTCCTCTTGGGGAAAGGTAAGGTGATGAAATGTGGTTTATATCAAAAAAAAAAAGGCAGTGTTTTTTCAGAGTCCAAGATATGCCAAGGGCTCATGTCTTAATTCTACTTGCTGGTTTATTAGTATGTGAGATCTGTGGAGTGCCTGTTACTTCATGCCAGTGTATAGGTCGTTCTTTTAAAGTTACAGTCTTATGTTCTTAGTCAGCAT